TGTAATCAGTTTTATTTGATGGTATGACTTCTTTAGACAGAAAATGGGGAGCTGTCTGACAGAACTCAGGACAATTGTGCACATGTTGCTGGCATTTACCAAGGGTTGCTGGATGCAGCCCTATCCTTTTTCTCTTCTTTATGTTGTGATCTTGGGTTTGTTACTCTTCCCCTTTATTGTCTTCTGTGCTGCTCTCACAGAGCCTTTGAGCAAACATGAGGAATGTGAATGAGCAGACTAGGCAAAGAATATATCAGAAGTTAGAAGGGTACAGAGATGCTGCTTGGGGAGAAAACTTCAGATTCTATTGTTCTCATTCTATGTTAATTTGCACCCAACCAAGGTCCAGACCCATCACAGAGTGCAAAACGGGGTTAAATAGTAATTTCAAAAGTGTTCCATGGCCCTGACCTTGTCTAAAGTCACATTCTCCTGTGTTCTGGTTATGTCTTCCTGGCTACAGCATGGAGACTTGGTAGTAATCACAGAATCCAGGAAAAAAGGCCCCATTTGCAGGAGCTGGGAAATAAAACGCCCTGTTCCCACCAACTCAACACATGTTCCTGGCTGGAACATCAGCCCATTTTTGCCAGTTAATGTCTGTTTCTCCAATAGTGATAACTATCATTCACCACTTCAGCTGTGTCTGTTGGACACTCAAACAGCTCAAGTTGTTGACTGCTGTTGTGAAAAACTTGAGCTATGTATGTCAGCCCTCAGAGAATAAAGTTTTTGTGTTTCTGCAGATTCAACCTTCAGGTTCAAGCCACGGGCGCACTCCTAAGTCAGAGTGCCGAGAGGGCTGCCTTCCAGAACCTCTTCCCCGGCTCAGAGCCTCAGAGACAAAGTCCTTTTCATTATCTCTGGCTTTGATCAGTTTCTCTAAACTCTCTTTCCAGCTTCTGACCTTGATTATTCTTTTTTCTATTTTCAATTTATAGTCTCCTTTTCCTTACACTTTCCTAGCTATGCCACCCCCAGGGCTCAATTATTTTTGGCAGATTTGTGAAAAATTCCTGTGAACCACTGATCAAGTATTCCTCCACAGGTAAGCTCCTGCTCACTCTAATCAAGTTGAAGATAATTTTGAAAATGCTAATCAGGACTTATTTATAAAAGCAAAGGATGGTGGTTCCAAAAGGAGCTAGTGCAAAAACACTGAGACATCTGCTATCTGATAGATTGAAAAATTACATGACTTATGTTGTATTTATGTATGTAAAACTGTCTATCTCTTTATGGAAAGAATCTAAACATCTTTCAACTCTGCCATTTTTTTACCCCAATACAAAAAAAATCATTTCAGATTTTCAGAGTCCCATAACTTTCTCATTCCATTATATAAATTCCTAATGTCTATTACCTGGTTTTCTGATGCTTTAATGGACACAGTATTTATCAAAAGGTAGATAAAGTATTAAGAAATTTGCACTTCTGTTTTTTTCAGGTAAATTCTGAATTTCTCAAGATCATATGGTGACCAAAGTGTAGTATTTAGATAAGAATCCATAAATTCTCTGATGAAACAGTAAAATAAAACCACAATGATGACACAATACTGATGATTATGTTGTATTAAGCAAAAATAACTGCACATGAAACAATAGTTATATATTATATTGTGAAGTTAGTCTATTTGTTTCTTGAGAACTAATGAGAAATTGAGGGTAGTTAAGGCAGGCAAACATTAGTTTATTTTTCCACTTATTGGGCTGTATAAGTTATCTATTACTGTGTAATATATTATTCCAAACATAATGGTATTAATCAAAATTATGTATTATCTCACATAGTATGTGTGGGTCAGGAATTCAGAGGAGGCTTAGCTGGATGGTTCTGGATTTCATGAGGTCCCAGTCAAAATTGGACTTATGTGTATAGGTTAACTATTGCTATGATAATGCTGTGTAACAATCTTACAATTTCAGTGGCACATAACAATATTTAATTTATATCCCTCTGAAGTAGGTTGGAGGTTGGTTGATCTAACTTGAGCACGGCTTGGGTGGTTCTGCTCTTCTCCACGAGTCTCTCATCTTCTTGGAGCTAGCGAGCTAATCTGAAAATGTTCTCATGGTAATGGCATAGAAAAAGAGAGTAAGTTCATATGAGCACCATCCAAGCCTTGGGTAGATCATATCCTTGATATTCCATTGTCCAAAGCAAATTGCATGGCCAACCCCAAAGTCAACAGATGCTCATGATGTGTGTGGATAAGGAAGTGAATAGTTCTGAACAACAATCTAACACACTGTGCTTTGGAAATGAGTGATGAAAATGCTTATTATGTATGGCTTTTTCTCAGGGAAAATAAAGGCAGTGATAAAGATGTGCAGAAACCTTAGGGATTAGTTGCTACTTTTCTTCCTGTGGGACCTAACAGAATTCATTTCTAGGGAGAGGAGTTGCTGGTTTTGAGACAGCCTTTATGAACTTGCTTGCATACAATTTTAGGTTGCAGGTAAAACTGTCATTATACTCAAAGGAGAAAGGTCAAGATCATGGCACTGCCTCAAAAGCATCCTGAGCACCTCTGATTGGCAGATTTGTGAAAAATTCCTGTGAACCACTGATCGAGTATTCCTCCATGGGTAAGCTCCTGCTCACTCTAATCAAGTTGGAGATAATTTTGAAAATGCTTATCAGGACTTATTTATAAAATCAAAGGATGGTGGTTCAAAACGGAGCTAGTGCAAAAACACTGTGAGACACCTGCTATCTGACAGATTGAAAAATTGCATGATTTATGATGTATTTATGTATGTAAAACTGTCTATTTCTTTATGGAAAGAATATAAACATCCTTCAACTCTGCCATTTTTTTTACCCCAATGCCTCCACTTGTTTTCATGTCTTCTGATGAAACAGTAAAATAAAACCACAATGATGACACATTACTGATGATTACGTTGTATTAAGCAAAAATAACTACACATGAAACAATAGTTATATATTATATTATGAAGTTAGTCTATTTGTTTCTTGAGAACTAATGAGAAATTGAGGGTAGTTAAGGCAGGCAAACATTAGTTTATTTTTCCACTTATTGGGCTGTATAAGTTATCTATTACTGTGTAATATATTATCCCAAATTTAATGGTGTTAATCAAAAGTATGCATTATCTCACATAGTGTGTGTGGGTCAGGAATTCAGAGGAGGCTAGGTGGATGGTTCTGGATTTCATGAGGTCCCAGTCAAAAGATCAACTGAGGTTTTAGTTATCTGAAGATTTGAGTGGGGGCTGGAGGAGCTGCTTCCAAGATGGTTCAATCACATGGCTGGCTAGTTGTTAAGAAGAAGAAGCCTCAGTTCCTTGACAGGTGGACACATCAATAAGCTGCCTGAGTATCCTCACAGCATGGCAACTGGCTTCTTCCAGAACAAGTGGTCAAAGAGAGATCGAGGCAGAAGCTACAATATAATTTATGACCTAGCCTTGGAAGTCACACTCTGGTCATTTCTATAGCATTTTATTGGTTATACCAGGCCTGGGACTGGTACTCACTCACAAGACTGTGTAAGTGCATGCCCTGAGTGTGAATATGTCCTTAAATTTTACACCCTTGCTGCCTTGTTTATCTTAATCTAGTCCTGACCAGCTGTACACATTTGCTATCCTTAGTGTTAGAGGGGACAATATAAAAGGCAAGAATCATGGGAACAACTTGGAGGCTGGCCACCACAAGAGTTAAGCACTTAACCAAGATTCTGATCAATGAGAAGGGACTTCCACTGGCTCATCAGTTCTCAACTTTGGTTGAGCACTTGAATCATCTGGGAGCGATGATTTAACTGATCAGGAGAGACAGCCATGATATCAAAAAGGTCTCCAAATTATTCACATGTGCAGTCAGGGATAAGTACATTGAAAATGAAGTAACGGTTCCTTTTGAGACTGAATTCCACACAGAATTTGCTATTGTATCTATCAGCAACATCTGTTCTCCCCTCATGGAGCAGAGTGTGGAGCAAGGTTTAGAAGGACAAGGGGCATCAGTAATTTATTCACTCACAAACTGTTGCTGAAAACAGAGTAGGTCAGGATGACTAGGTTTCTTCCCCACCACCTGTATGTTCTGTTTGAACTGTTTTATAAAAGATTGGTAGGCACAGGGTTAACTCATCAATGCTGGTATGATTTGAGGTTCTTTATTTGTTTCAAGACATATCAAAACAGGCACATTGGATGAACAGAGAGGTCCCCAGATGAAAAAGAGAATAATGGGAATTAAATGAGTTAGATTAGGGTTAGGCTGTCTGTTTACTTATATACCAGTTTGCCAGTGTTTTTCTCTCTCTCTCTCTCTCTCTCTCTCTCTCTCTCTCTCACACACACACACACACACACACACACACACACACACACGTAAAGCCAAGAATGAGATCACGCTTAGCTAATATAATTTTAGAAGCCAGTTCAGGTTTGTATCTACTAGGCTACATGGTTGTGGAGTAGTTATCTCTTTGAAACTTCCCTATTCCATGGGGCAGGAGCCTGGGCTGAATGTACTGGGAAGAAAGGTGAAAGAGGATTGGAATGGGGTTCTTATGCAGGATATCCTGTTTTTCTCCATTGAAAATAAATAACAGAATTTCAATATGAAGACTTCTGCTAGAACTTTCACATTTTCTTCTTGTAATTTTCCTAGGAAATGCAAAAAACCTCAGAGTTTATCATGATTTTGGCAAATAGTTTAGAATGTTGGCAGATGCCCAAAGAAAAAAAGCTCTGTTACAGACATATGCTCGAAACCATTGTTGTCACCTCAATCAGATAATTACAATGAAAAATAAAACACTGCAAGCATTTTTTATGGCAGCAGCCTAATTTGCACTTCTTACATAAGCAAGGACATTCCTGCAGATTGCATTGGGTGTCAGCATAACATATCCTCTCACTCTTCTGTAAAGGCATACTCAGATGAAAGGGGACAAGTTGCTGGGAAAACAGGTCATTCTCTTCAGACATCCATTTCAGCCACAGAAGAGGCTTGGCCAGAGGGCGAATACTTAATAAACAAAATATCTACATGCTCAATAGGATTCTAGCAGAGTTTCATTGTATGGCAAAGTCTCAAAGGGTTAGAGTGCTTCCATCTCGTGACAGGGTAGATCACTTCCAATGGACTCCTGAATGCAAGTGTACTTGATGGGAGGTGGAGGCGGCTTGAAAGGTGGGGGTCTTTCCATGCTAGGAACAAAACATTGCTCTTTTAATGCTAAGAATGTGAGGGTGTGGTTGAAGTAGGAAACAGAGAAAGACATACTCCACTAGCTCTCTCAGAATTTTCTTGTCATAACTTTCTGCTTGTTAGTTTTATCATGATAATATCATTAATTAATATTTATATGGTAATTTCATAGTTTGCAAAGTGTTTTTGTTATAACCTTGTATCTAGAAATTGAATATTACTGTCACCATTCCATATATAAAAATTAGGCACAAAGGTTTTAATCATCTTGTTCAAAAGAACCAGACCAGCAATTCAAGTCTTTTAACCAAAACCCATACTCTCCATGGCAACTGCTTCCTAATAGAAGTGCTTCTCTTATGTGGGTTAAAAACATTCCTCCAGAGATAAAATTTTAAAATTCTGTGTGCTGTGGGGATCCAGTTTAGGTGGGAAGTAAAGCTCTTTGAATTCCTGAGTTGGTTGGTACTGGATAGATAATGCCAGAATCCCTTCTTTTTAAATAAGTGAACATTCTGAATGTCATCTTTGTATAAAGTGCTATTCTCTGTTAGCACAACTCATCTCTTGTCTGAAATGCATCAAGCATACAAGTGAGTGTGAGATTTAGCTATACAAATGCCCCAGCACTATTGATAATAGAAAACAGAAATATATTTGTGAGCAGATTTATGTCCACGACCCAAATACCTGCAGCACTTGTCTGTCAATTCATAGTATTATATAAATTCCTAATGTCTATTACCTGGTTTTCTGATGCTTTAATGGACACAGTATTTATCAAAAGGTAGATAAAGTATTAAGAAATTTGCACTTCTGTTTTTTTCAGGTAAATTCTGAATTTCTCAAGATCATATGGTGACCAAAGTGTAGTATTTAGATAAGAATCCATAAATTCTGACTACTGGTTTAGTGTTTTATTCGCCATGAAACACTGCACATGGTGATAGAGTCTTCAAGGATACTCTCAGAAAAGTAGAAGAAGGTATTGCATGATGGTCAATGTTATCTTAGATAGTAGTCGGAAGATATGTGGAAGATCAGCCCTATGTATTATGAGGGTCTCCTCTAATTGTGGCCTAATCTGGACTGATTCAAAATAGCCCTGTCAGAAAAGCAGAGCATAACCTTATGTGTCATTTCAGATTGTGGATTGGAAGGAGAAGAGTTCCGGAAAATATTTCAATAAGACAAAAAAAATGGGGGGTAACCAACTGCTTACTTTCTTTTCCTCTTGGGGAAAAAGGTAAAGGTCAGTAAAAGCTCATTCTGCTGAAAAGCAGCTGGAAATTTCTTAAAATTACCTTTCTCACTCAATTTCACACTTGAGCATCTCGGCATGGCTAGGCTCAGGCAGGTCAGAGATGCATGAAAATGAAAAAATAATAAAGATTAAAAGAAAAATCATTTTCAATTTTGAGGTAAGGTGAGGCGCGGTTTTTATTTAATGCCCACTGACTGTTCCGCCTGCTGAGTGTAGTGTTACAGCCTGAACAAGGCAGAAGGGCTACCAAATCAGAAGTTGTGTATCTAAGCCCAACTGTGTGGTGCTGGGAAAGCTATATTACCTCTCTGAGCCTTATTTCCTCTGTTAAATATGAGAGGGGCTCAATATAGGCATGATATCTATAGTGCTGAGTGAATGATGCATATTGAAAAAGTATCTGTTCCTGCATATCTTGGCATTATACTCACATTTCTTGTTGGTATTGACACCATTTTCTCACTCCAAGACCAAACGATACCAGGCATAAAAAGAGCAAAGCTGCTACCAATACTGGCCAGGATGTTCCATCTTTGGGCTTCTTAGCCACAATAACTGAAAAGGGCATCAAGAGAGAGGAATTTTAAAGCCAAACTTTAGGCCATTGGAAACCAGAATTAATTGAACTACTTCTCCCACCTGACAGACATTTTATTTAAGGGCCAAAGGGTGTTCCTTGAACACAGTCACCCTGTGGAATCATGTCTATGCCTTGTTCTACTTTCTGGTTTGGCATTTATTCAATTGCATTTTTACATGAATGTCTTTCTTGGTCACGTATTCCACAACTGATCTTTTCCCTCATTTTCCCAAGGCCCTGGACAATTCCTGACACATGGTACCCGATGAAATGTTATTTGCATGAATGAATAAATTAAAATAATCTGTAAATTAACTTTATCTGTGAAACAATGGTCTACCTTTGGGTTTTCTTGTTCTTGAAGGAGTCACTAAATGCCTTATGGAAGCACATGTAGTAGGACGAGGAAAAAAGAGTAAAAAGCAGTGTGACCTTCCAAAGTCCTGAAGAGCTAGAGCTGAGAAGCCCTGGACAATACCTATGGAGTTGTAGTGCTGAAAAACCATGTTCAAAGACTTCTCATTTGAATGTCACTCAAGGAATCATAACCAGACTAGAGATTTTCTTATCCTTTTCTATCACGTCCCCTTCTTTTTTACTCTCCATATCCATTTCAGGAATAGAAAGGGGAGAAGGGACAAAATGGATAAAACTAAAATGAGTTGGTTTTTACATTTCTGTGGTCTGAAAAGGGAAGAAGTTGAAAGTAAAGGACTGGCTAAAATTATATTGGTGATTAATCAATGGGTTGATTTTTCTTATCCTTGCTGACCATCCCCATACTCAACTCATTCATTAACATTTGAATATTAAGTTAAACTGCAGGAATCAAAGACTTTAAAATATTATGGATTCTAGACTAGCAGAAAAATAAATATCCTATTCTGGATGGCTTTACTTTTTAGTAAATGAGGTTTTCTGGTTCTAGCTGGCAGTTAATAGAAGTATTTCCTTTTCAAAAAGTATTTTATGATCATGTTAACAATTCAAACAGCACAGAACTATAAAACTGCAATGAAAAGGAAGTGCCCTTACTACTTTAGGTACCAGTTTCCCACACTAGAGGCAATAACTTTCAATAGTTAATTACATATCCTACCAGAAACTTTCTATGCATACATAAACACATATATGTATCATGAATATACATCCCCTTTACTACAAATGCAGCCATACTATACATATTGTTCTGCCTGTCCCCTGGCTTTTTTTCTCTTAAAAATGTTCTTGGAATACTTTCCAATGAAGTGTATAGAGATTTACTTCATTCGATTAAACTCCTGGCTAGTTCCCCAAATGTAGGCATCTACCATAGTTTATTTAATTGGTCTCTTAATGTCAGGTGGTTGAATTGTGTCCAGGCTTTTATTATCTCTAACAACACTCCAGTGGAATCCTTATACATTACAGATAGATCTTTAGCTCTTTAGGTTACATAGATCATTTGGGCAAAAAGTGCATTTTTATATTAGGATTATCTGGATTGATTTTCTTTTATCATTTCAACTAGACTATACACTGCTCATAGGTGGAGACTAGGTTTTTATTTTCTCTTATTGCCTAGATTTATTATACTGCTTTCCATACAGCAAGTCTCAAAAATAAAGATACAGTCTAAAAAACTGGATTTAAAATATTAGGTACCAAGTCTTTTCTATGTCTTACATAGTTTGGACTGTAGCCACATTATGTCAAGTTAATAGTGTGTTGGTTATCAGTGTGGAAGACTTTTTCTCTCACAACACACATCCAGGATTCGAGGTCTTCCTGAGGCTCACCCTAGCTTAGCCCTGTCAAAACAGATACTACGGGTACCCTGGAAGCTCATGTAGTCCTGCCACACATAACCATGTGGTACTATGTATGCATTGGTGGCTAAAGAGAGTTCAGAAATTCAAACCACTGGAGTATTGTGATCACCAAAGGAACAGCTCAGGACTACACAAAGTTCTGTTTTAGTGAAATCAAAATTGATTAGACTCTACACTAGTAATATGGTAGTAAATAATATTTATCCCCAAAGTTTTAGAGAAATAAAAGAACAAAAGGTTTTTTAAGTGGGTGTTAAATTAATGTTTACAAATTTTCTTCAAACCAAATATAGAAAATGAGACCATTGACTTCAGGAATGTCTCAGTGCAGAAGCAGAGCTCCAATCTGGCCCCATTTCCAAAGTAGGCAGTTCTTAAGTCACCGATATCTTAAAGATATTGGTAGGGCCACAGTTTGCAACTCTGTTGCCATGTTGTGTGAGGATGATACTCTAATGATCTGAGGATTGCATGACCTTCCATATGAAATAAAATGATTACTCAGGCGAAGTGCTCACCAATCAAGTGAATAACCCCTGAAGTGAAAGAATTGATTAGACCTCTGAATTTAGGATTAAGATCTGCATTGGGAGGGTCCTAACTTTATTGAATCCCTTGCCCTCTTATGATATAAAATAATGGATTACATTTAGCATTGACGTATTTTATTGAATATAGGAATTCTCTTTGTTCCAAGAATCTCTTTCTTGATTCAGACTATATTTTCACAAGACTGAAATGTTACTCAATACCTTTCTCCTGGCTACTTCTTATTCACTTTTCAGATTTTAATTTAAATATATTTTCAGTGAGTATTTTCCTCTTCTCCAATTAAAATCAGATATTTGTTAGATGCTGACAATACCTTGTACTATATCATAGCATGTCACAAATAAATTTAATTGTATGGTTACTTTTTCACTATATAACATCTCTAACAGATTATTATCTTCAGGAGGTCAGTGTTTTCACTTTATGTCCAACAATTGGCACAGTGTTTGGCAAATGGTAGATACTCAATAAATATTTCTTGAGTCAATAAAACATAACATCCAAAAAATAAATGGCATATGGCTCACCAGTGATATGGATGTCATTATTTTTAGTAGATCTATTGTCAGTTGTGGGAACTTCTGGAAATTCTTTGGTTGTGCTGATGAAGTCATCACCTAGGGATAGAAAGGGGATTATCTGAACTGATCCTAATAGCCATCTCAATCTGATCAAATGGTGTAAAATCATGATTGGATTTCACTTGCTGTTAGAAAGAGCTCAATTTACATGGCTTAAATACTCCTAAAATTTTATGTGTAAAGTTTACTAAGGTCCAATTTACAGCAAGGCTAGGATCCTAGGATCTGTCTAATATGGCTACCAAATAGTGAAACTTCCTATTGGCTTAAAGAAATAAAAAAAAAAAGGGGGGGGGGGGGGGGGGAGAGAAGCTGTATAGCACACACGACAAACCAATATCTGCTAAAGAATCTCCATGAGAAATTTAAGTAATTATAGGAAAAATATTAAGTTGGGATGATGGAAAGATGAGGTCTATTCCTATTCTCTCACAATATCAGAGGTCTAGCCCAGTGGTCGGCAAACTCATTAGTCAACAGAGCCAAATATCTACAGTACAATGATTGAAATTTCTTTTGAGAGAGAAATTTTTTAAACTTAAACTATATAGGTAGGTACATTGTTATTAACTTAATTAGGGTACTCCTAAGGCTTAGGAAGAGCCACACTCAAGGGGCCAAAGAGCCGCATGTGGCTCGCGAGCCGCAGTTTGCCGACCATGGGTCTAGCCAATCAAAATACTGATTCTCCCCACTCTAATGTATTTGGAAAGGTTAATAAAAATTCCTTAGCAACATTCAAGTAGACAAATCTATATTGACAAATCATTCAATTTTCCAATGGAAAAATAAAACAAAATGCATTTTTAATGAATTTGATTGGTTAAAAAAAGCCATTATATAGATTTAATTTTAAAATAAGAGACAGAAAAATCTAATACTTGGTCTCTGATTATCTTCTTTCAGTGACTGGGCAGAATTTTGGTTCCATTCATTATCGTTATCAAGATGCACTTTTAAATATCTATCTGAGATTGGATTCTTACCAATCCTTGTTTTTTAATCTCTGTCAAGATAAAGCAGACCACTACCTCTCCTGACCCTGAATTTTCCCCACTACTTACCATGAAGTGTGGAGCCCGCACCTGAGGGGAATGGACTGTATGTTTCACTGGGCATCCATGAAGCTGCTAATGGAAGAACATAATGGAAGAGTCAATCTGTAAAAGACTAGTTATTTTCTCTTCTTAATTTTAATTGAATCTAATGGTTATAAAAGAGGGATATTAAAATATATTTAAAGCAACATCATTGAGCTATTCTGCAGCACACATTAGAAAGTCCCAAATAAAGTGGGAGTTGAGGTAATGCTTGTGGAAGTTTTGTATTATAGACAAATAGGAGAAGGAAGAAGAAATGAAAGGAAAATACCAGGAGAGGTTCTTTCAGCCACAGAGAGGGTGTTGTGACTATTCTCATGGCCATCCATAGATGAGCCAAAAGAATCGTAGAGAATGAAAGCCCAGGTGTGTTATGGTGGCCTTCAGTCAAGGAGAGGTGCCAATAGGACTTTGAAGAACTTGGTAGAACACATGAGGGAACAAAATAGTTTGTATTTGTGGGTAAGCTGACATTTTTATTCAACTGTGAAAATTGAACTGTATCAACAGTGAATTATCAGAACCTTATTGTTACAAGCCTGTTAGCTGCTGGGTGTATACTTTTGATGTATTCGGTGGCAAACCTTCCCCTTGAGTGGATGGCAGCAAACTCAGCACATATGGCTTTTGAAATAGAGCCATTAACTCATTTTGTTTAGTTCCCCATATCTGGCAAGAAAAACCCACTTCTTGGCAAACTCCCCAGGCCAATAGTGTGATGTAAAGTAAAATAACGACTCATTTTGTTTAGTTCCCCATATCTGGCAAGAAAAATCCACTTCTTGGCCAACTCCCCATAACTGTATTTGATAACAGGCCAATAATGTGATGTAAAGTAAAATAACTATAGTGGTGCCTGAGTAGTATGCTCATTTATTTAAAACATTAGCATACAGGATTTTACAAGTTAAGCGTTTTTAGTGTGTCCAAACCAAAACAATCAAAACCAAAATAAAATAAAACAAACATTAAAAAAAAACAAAAACCAGCCTCAGCCTTCCCCTTTCTTGGTTTTTCCCTGAATGCCAAGGGCATTTACAGCTGCAGACAAAGGTATGTTATTAGGTCCTTCAGAAGAGGCATTGGTCCCCGGACAATCTGTCATGACAACTCCCATGGGGAGTCACCCCACAGGAGAGGGTAGTTTTGTACACAGCTATTTTGAATTTAACTAGGCCAGAGAGATGTTCTTATCTTCAATATAATTCTCTGACCCTGTACCTGTGATCTTAACTCTTTTTTTTCCCCCCTAGATGACCAAGGTATTCAGATGATGATGTATTGAGTACTTTTTAAATGTCCATTTTTAATGGTTAAGTCATTAAGCCAGGAATTTGATTGACAAAGAGCAACAATTATAAATTGGGACGAGGCCTGGATTTAGGTACAATTATGATGAAGGCAGTTTGTTCAGTTTTTTGTTGTTTTTTCCCCCCAATATTGTGTCCCCTTAGTTACTATTTTTAGGGCTTAATATCTTTATATATTATCTCTTCAAATTCAGTTTTTAAGAAAGTATGTGATAAATTAATTTATGCTAAGGTTATAAATGGTTAACCAAGTTCTATCCCTCTGAGAAAAACAGGTATTTTTGTAAAGATTTTTCCATTTCATGATTATTATCAGCAGGTCAACAGAGAACAGTTTGTAATGATTAGTTACATGTGGATACCAAGGTGTTTTTTTAAGCATAACACAATTTCAGAAGATGGTGATATCATTTGTATGATCCATCCAAATGACAATACTTAAAATCATGCAAATTATTTTACCATTTCATAAAGCTTCTTTTTAGACTTCTAGGTATTTTTCAAGTGTAAAAAGACATCTCAAAAATGTGTGATAGAATTAAACTACAAAAACTATTTTGGAAGAGTAAGGAGTTCTCTAAATTTGGCTTTAAGATTTTATTTTAACTTTGTTTAAAAAATACAATGGGGAGTGTATTGAGAAAGGTGAAGAAAAAGGAGCTTCCAGTTGATGGATTCAGCATGTCTGAAAATACTTAAGTAATGTAAAAAAAACAACAACAAAAAACTTCAAGAGCCCTAGCTGGTTTGGCTCAGTGGATAGAACATCGGCCTGAGAACTGAGATGTTCCAGGTTCTATTCCAGTCAAGGGCACATGTCCAGGTTGCAGGCTCAATCCCCAGTGTGGGGCATGCAGGAAGCAGCCAATCAAGGATTCTCTCTCTTCACTGATGTTTCTATCTCTCTCCCCCTCTCCCTTCCTCTCTGAAATTAATAAAAATATATTTTAAAAAAACCTTCAAGAGAAAGAATATATTATAAATAAAAGTCAGCAAGATGAAGAGATGAACAATATTTGCAATAAATGTGCCCACAGGAGGAGGACTTCCTGAAGAATGCTTGTTTACAGCATCCTTAGTAAGATAGAATTGGTTATGTACAATGACTCATCTTTCACTAAATGCAATACTTTTCTAAAAGTTCCTACACTCTATCATTTAGCTATATGATTTTTAGAATATGTTTTACATTGACTACTCCATCTGCCATTTTTAAGTCTCAAGAGTCTCAGCAGAATTGTGTTGCTATTGTCTTTTAATTGATTGAAATATTCTGTGTTCTTCAAGGCATGTTTGTTAAATACAAGAGTTAAATCTCTTTCAAACCTTAGAGCACCCATTTTCATCAAAATCCACAAATGAACATGACTTTGGCATTTAGACGATAAACACCAGCTTGATGGATAACCTCCTGTAGTACATCACCATTATCAGCTAAAACATGAACACGGATCTATACTGATGGAGTTTCTCAAATATATTTTTTATCCTTTTTAAAAAAAAACATAACCTTGGTTTCTTCCACAACTTCTTTAAATTTTACTTTTGGTAAAGGTTGTTCAACAAGGAAACTATGTGATACCATTCTACCATAAAAATGTACTTCTCTTCTATGGTAAAAACAGGATCAACTTCAATAGCATAGTATTTTTCATTTACTTGCAATAACATTTTTGGACATATGCCTGTAACTAGTTCATAGTTATCAATAATATTATGACATGGCAGGCATCTTTTCCCTTTGTAGAGAAATATACTTAGTGTCATATCAAAGTCTGTGGTGACCTGAAGTTTGGCAGCTCATCTTTTGATGAAACCAGTGATAATTTCTGTTACTTTTGTAGAATTCTTGTGGCAAACTGAACTTTCAAATTCTGGAATCATTTTACATGTCTAGACATTTTTTTTTTTGGTTATGCAGTCTTCCTTAAGGCATTCTGAGTTCTTCTGTCATTAATTTTGTCTTAAAACAATGGCATAAGTGGCAAACAATAACTCAAGATGCAGGGCTTATATACAGAGATCTCTATGACCTTGGTCTTTAGCCTCATCTTCCTCTTCAGGTTGAGTATGTACTCGGCCAGCACTACCTCTTCCACTAGAACAGTGGTTCTCAACCTTCCTAATGCCACGACCCTTTAATACAGTTCCCCATGTTGTAGTGACCCCCAACCATAAAATTATTTTCGTTGCTATTTCATAACTGTAATTTTGCTACTGTTATGAATCGTAATGTAAATATCTGATATGCAGGATGTATTTTCATTGTTACAAATTGAACATAATTAAAGCATAGTGATTAATCACAAAAACAATATGTAATTATATATTCAATATGTGTTTTCCAATGGTCTTAGGCGACCCCTGTGAAAGGGTTGTTCGAACCCTATAGGGGTCATGACCCAAAGGTTGAGAACTGCTGCACTAGAACATAAATGCTGGAACAAGTTACAGTGTGTACTCTTGCCATGATCACCTAGTCCAAAGATGGGACCCTCATACTCTTCCCAGCCACAAAAAGAAGATGACATACATGAGCTTTCAAAGTGTGAGGTTTGTGTTTTTGCTGTGCAGAAGTCCCCAGAAACTGGTAGTTTAACAAAAAATATAATTTTAAATCAGAGAAATGAATCTGTAATTTGAGACTGACCTAATTAGAAACTATATGAAAGATAGGGAGAACAACATTTTAGAGGATGGGAAAATGGATTGAGATGTGATCAGAGACATCAAAGATTTTAGAATATGAGAACAAGAGAGGTGAATTAAGAGAATCAGCATCCAAGCCAACAGGGAACAGAGGGACTGAAAATTATCCTAGAGACTGAAATAGGAATTAGACCCAATGCTGCCATAGGCTCTCTCATTCCTATGTCCCTACCACTGGCCCTCAACCCCTCAACTCTAATCTCTCCATCACCCTCTGTCAATGGAAAGTAGAATGGGTTGTTAAGAAAATTTTAGGCACAGCTATCAAAAGCCTGAGAAGAACCAGATAGAACCATGGGCAGGATAAGCAATGCATCTTCAAGATTTAAGAAGAATATATAAAATTTGAAGGATAAGGAATGCATTCTTAAAGAACAAAATAAAGACCCCATGTGATGTCAGTAAGAGGTACTCTGAGGCCCAGAGGTGTGTGTGTGTGTGTGTGTGTGTGTGTGCAGTGAGCTTGTTGATTTTTGGTAATGGAGCAAGTTGGAAGCATAAGGGTCTATGGAGATTCATATCATTTTTCTGCTTGTCTAACTTTGAGAGACTGAATTAAATGTGGCTTTCATCTCCAGTGGACCAGATGAATGACAGGGAAAACCAAAAATAAAAAAGTAATTAAACAAATTTTCTGCTCCATGGTCTGATCACCTGAGTGTCAGGAAGAAAATATGTTCTCAGATGCTACTAACCTTATAAATTTTGGGCATTTAGTTGGTCAGATTTGGTATCCCCATTTCATAGGTGCTTACAGTAACATAAGCATCTCTGTTTCAGATTGAGGAAACTTGGAAGCTGAACTAAGGTTAGACTTCAATATTCTTGAATCCCAGCTTAGACTTCTTCAAGTTGATAAACTTGATGACAACAAAATAATACATTAAACCATATATTTATAAATTTAGTGTAAGTGCAATGAAGTCAGAACCATGACACTCAAATAATTACGAGCTACATAAAATACATGTATATAAACAAATATTCCATATCCACATGTTCACAATTAGC